GAGTCTGCAACTCCCGGTCGCCTGCCGGAGGCAGAGCGGAGAGTTCCCGAGGACTAAAAAACGGAAAGAGAAAAAAGTCTGGAGCAAGAAAATCCGTCACCGCCGACCCGCCCACCCCGGCTTCCCGGCCCAGTGACGGTCGAGGCTGAGGGAGGGACGGCAAGCGGCCCAGGCAGCTGTCCCAGAGACGCCAACTCCTTGCAAGCGCGCGCCCGGCGGCCCGCTACTCACCCAGAGGCAGGAGGAGGGGACGGGGACTAGATCTGGCCTCGACGTTGACGCCGACGCCGCCCCGCGGTAGGAAGTTCCTTATAAAGAGGCAACGCTGCCGGTCTGGGACAGACGGCTCGCTTGCCTGGCACGCAGACTGAGGGCGGCTGCGCAACCCGGAGCCCAAGGTGCCCCAACCCCGACCCGGCCCCGCGCGCTCGGCGGCCGGGCGCGGCTTTGGGGCGCCCCCGCGCGGCCGGGCATGTGTGCGCCCCGCGGGCATGGCCTCGGCGGTGTTTGAGGGCACGTCTCTGGTGAACATGTTTGTGCGCGGCTGCTGGGTGAATGGCATCCGCAGGCTCATCATCAACCGGCGCGGCGATGAGGAAGAGTTCTTCGAAATCCGTACCGAATGGTCGGACCGCAATGTGCTCTACCTGCACCGCAGCTACGCTGACCTGGGCCGCCTGCTACGGCGCCTAAGAGACTCCTTCCCCGAGGACCGGCCGGCGCTGGCGCGCTCCCCGCTGCTGCCAGGTGCGCGGGGCAGGCGCGTGCGGGCGGCCCTAGAGCAGGGAGACTCTGGTGAGGGAGTTCACGAACGCAGTCAGGGAGTGTTGCTGAAGCCTGACACTGCGTCCGTCTCCACCCTGGTCCCCGGCACAGGGTAGGGGCTCTCAGGCCCTCGGCCCTAGCGAAGGCGCCCACTAGGCATGGTCCGGGGAAACCTCTTATTCTGGTTCTGGCGGGTGAGCGAGCGGGGTAGAAGGAGAGGGACTGGAAGGGAGAGGGACTTGAGGGCGCGGCTGGCCAGGCGTAGTGGCCGGGGCTGCCGGTGAGGGCGAGTCTGTTTCTTCCGAGGGAGACGCGGCTTGGCGAGGCGGCGCCGGTACAAGTGACGTGGCCGGTGTGGGTCAGCCCCGCGGCAGCTTTCGGGGTCGCAGCCTTAGCCACCTCCGGAGGAGGAGCTAACTGCGAGCGCGGCCCCCGCCCGCCCGAGTAGGTTGCAGGAGGCGGCTTCCAGGAGAGTTAGAGGAACAGTTAACCGTAGTGCCCAAGTTGAAGAGTCGAGTCTCTCCGGGAGCGTCTTTTGGGGAGGGGAGCTCCTCCTTTCCTATCCAGTGACAAATACTCCCTGAGCTATGCAGGGTGCCACGCAGCGCTTCCGTCATACTTGGGCGGAGGGGCCAGGGTCCCACCCCGGGATGGAGCCGAGCATTCGGGTTTGATTAGCGTGGCCACCTCCTCCAAGCCTTGTGACCGAACCTGGCTTTTGGCGCCTGTTGTCACAGAGCCGCTTTGCTCCTCTTTTCCTAAGGTCTGGCTGGTGCCCCGCCCCAAGAGGGCCTGAGAGAGGGGAGGAAGCTAGAGAGAGGCTGATGTTGAAACAAAAAGAATGGGTATGGAGAGGCAGCCAAACTGGAGACTGGGGAGAGGTGGGTCAAGAAAGAAGGGGCAGGGAAGCCTGAAGGCAGCTATGACTTCTGAGCAAGGCCCAGAGTGTGCCAGCCGACAATTCTGAAGAACTAAGGCATTTCGCCTAGGAGGCTTCTTTTTTGCAGCCCTCTTCTAAGCAGACCTCTGGGGCAAGTTTACTGAAGCCCGCAGTCCCCTACAGGACGTAAGGATTCTGGAAATGTGCCCCCTACTTGTCTGTGGAGGTCTAGAGATAGTCCTTGTACCCCAGTGAGAATAGTACGGATGGATAATGAGCCCAGTTCTGGGAAAGACTGCCCTGATGACACCACCTCTGGCCTGGAAGCCAGCAAGTGAGAAGGCCCTGAGCCCTGAGCAGGAAGGCATGTCTTTGCTGCTTTTTCTCCCCATATTCTCATATTCTTAGACTGCTGGGGATACTCTAGGACTATTTCAAAGCTTTCCTTGGATTGGCTGGTTTTGTTATATTTTTAATGTAGCAGTGAAAGCCCAAATCAGGATAGCGTAGATGAAAGAGCAACATATTCAATGACTTTGGCCCTTTCTGGAACAAGGCTGAACATAAAACACTTTTGAGCCTCAGCTGTGGTCCTGTGCTGACTGGTTTCAATCCCAGCTTCCCCATTTGGTTCCTCACTTGTAACATTATACCTGTTGCCTGCGTTTTGTGGTGAGGATTAAAGTGTGTGGTACAGCATCTAGAATACAGTAAGCCACCTATAAAGGCAAGTTGTTGTTATTTTACAGTCCTCTTCTAAGCAGAGAAGGTCATGGTAGGTGAACAAGGAAGGCTCCAGGAGAGGGATGGGGTGGACATAGCTTAGCATTAGCTGCCAGGTTGTGGTGCAGAGGTAGGCCGAGGGATTGTGGGATGTACTCCTAAAAATTCCTTACCTGGAGAAGAAGGGCGGTGCATGTGATGAATTCCAACTTGCCTTGTTCATGCCCTGCTCACTCACCTTGTGCCTACACAGACTGCTGGGTCACTCTAGTTTGGGAAGCTGATAGACATAAAGACTAGCCACTTTCAAAGTACCTATGAAGAGTGGAGGCTGTCAGTAAAGGAAAATTTATAAAGTGGGTGATTGCAATGGAGAAGATTAATACTCAGAAGGGATATCGTAGCTTCTTCAAAAGGAAAAAAAAAGTCAGAAATAGGGACTAGACATGATGGGGGGTGGGGGTGAGGATGAAGACCTGTGGTCATTCTGTGTAAAGTGTAAAAGACTTTCTGACAGCCCAAGACAGGATTGGTGCCTTGGCTGGTAAACCAATACCTCTCCCTGCCAGGGCCGGCCTAGCATTCCAGTGTAGAGTTGGATATGGTAGCCTGGGACTAAAGGAGGGTGGCCTGTAAGCCCTTTCTCCTTTTAGTCCATGATTCTCTAGGAAGAGGCAAGCGTGTCCCTCCCCAGTAACACCTGAGTTCTGTACAGTCGCAATGGAAGTCCTTTTCCTGTTTTTTGATCTCTTTAAATCCAGGGAAATTGTTTCCTAAGAAAAATACAATACAACAATCTAAAAGAAGATTCTATCTATTTCTATGCAGATTTACTATTTGCATAAGAAGATTGTCTGGATATACAAACTATAAACACAAAAGAAAACCAGATGTGTGTGTTGTATTGGAAATGGCAGCTCTTCTCAGTATAATTCCCCATCAGATTCCCCCAGTTTAAATTTATTGAAATGTTTCTGGGGTAGGTTAGATTTACACTCTCTGGTTTCATTAAAAAGCTTTGTGCTGGCAGTAGGCCACTACTCTTGTAAATGTAGGATTGGACACCCTCAGAGGGTGTGAAGGTCTGGGCCCCTACTGGCATTGTTGAATCTGCATCCAATTAAAGGATATTGAGCCATTTTTCTTGGTCCCTCTAGTATTGCAATTGGAAGACTGTTTACATAGGAGAATGAGATTTTTCTCCCTTCTGTACAAACACTGTGGTGTTATGCTTGGCTCTCATCCACAGGCCTTGTCTATATCACGGTGACACATCTACAGAGATATTTTATTATTGTCATAAAATACATATAACAAAAATGTTACCATTTTAACCATTTTTAAGTGTAAAATCCAGGGACATTAATTACATTCACCATGTTGTACAGCCATCACCACTATCCTTTTCCAAAAGTATCACATCACCCCAAACAGAAAGTCAGTACCTTCTTCAGGGATTTCTAAAGGAGCTCTGGTGGCATAGTGGGTAAGGCATTTGGCTGCTAATCAGAAGGTCAGTGATTCAAGCCCACCAGCTGCTCCCTAGGAGGAAGATGAGGCAATCTACTTTCATAATGATTTATAGCCTTGGAAACTCAATGGGGGTCACTGTGAGTCAGAATTGATCCAATGGCAATGAGTTTGGTTTTTTGGTTTGCGTGGGGTATACGCACAGTGCTCACAGGCTCCCTTCCCGGGGAGTGGAGGGTATTAGTTCCAGGTCCTCCCTGAGTTTTCTGTTTGGGGAGGTTGGTCAGGGTACACCTCAGGACGTGTCTTGCTTCCATTTCCTCTTTTCCTTGGAATCTTGATCTATATCACTTTACCCTCTTCAGTTGGATCTGATATTCCCTACTCTTCCTTTCTTGCCCTCCCCCTCAGCTGAAAGCAAAGCAGGGAACTTCTCCCCCAGCAAACCATCTCTGAGCTACCAAGGTGTTCCTTTTTTTTTTTTTTTTTGCCTTTTCTCGGGGCTATGAATTGGAATCGACTCCTTGGTTTGGTTGTTTGGTTTAATACTACTGTGGCCAAGTCTCTAGTTTAAATCCCCTCTATGAAATACCTAAGGAACTCTGGTAGTACAGGTGTTATACTGCTTACCAAAAGGTCAACAGTTTGAACCTATCAGCCACTCCAAGGGAGAAAGATGAGATAGTCTGCTTCCATAAAGGCTTACAGCCTTGGAAATCCAGTGGGGCAGTTCTACTCTGCCCTATAGGGTCACTGTGAGTCAGAATCGACTGATAGCAGTGGATTTGGGTTTTTGGTATGAAATACCTAAAGTGTTTTGCTTCCCAGAACCTGACCAAGGATTCTTGCCTTATTTATACCTGACATATACAGGAAGGTTTACACTTTAAAATGCAACATACGGAATTTCTCCATGGATTATTTTGGGTTCTTGGACTATTTTGATCCTTTTTTTATGACCTTGTGAAGTTAGAGTTCTCCTCATCACCATTGCAGCAAAAGATTCTATTTCTAAAGTAACTAGGTGATCTTTGATTCTGCATTAGTGAATATCAGCATATTGGTTTTACATTCATTCATTCAACACGTTTGCTGAGTACCTATAGGTGCTAGGGACACAACACTGAGCAAAACACACACACACAAAATCCATGCCCTTGTGATTCTTAAATTCCAGTTTGGGAAAATCCAATAATAAACAAATGAGAAATGTATGGCATTAGATAATAATAACTGTCAAGATTTGAAAAAAATAAAAAAAGAAGGAAAAAGTCGGTGACACATAGGAGCATAGGAGAGTTTAACTTTAGATAAGGTGGCCAGGGAAGGTTTTACTGAGAAGTGATGATTGAGCAGAAACCTCAAGGAAAGGAGGGAGCCAGCCATATGGAAGGAGTATTCCAGGCAGAAGGAAAAGCAATTACAAAGGCCCTGAAGCCAGGACATGCGTGGTGGATTTGAGTAAGGAAGAGGCCACTGTAGCTGGAATAAAGAGAATGAGGTGGGGAATACGAGGAGAAAACAAGGGAGGCAGGGAGTAGGCAGATCATGTGGGGCCTTGTGGGTCATGGTCTAGTTCTGGTCTCTTACTAGTTGTCACTGGGGAGCTTTGAGCTGGAAAATGACTTGATCTGACTTGCACTCAGGCTACTGTGCTAAGAAAGACATGAGGGAAGCAGGGAGACCAGGTAAGAGAGGCTGGGTGCTTAGTCCCAGGTGTAGCAGAGAGTATGTGAGAGGTGATCGAAGACTAATATGTTAAGTTGGAATGTCTTAAGGTGGAAATGATTTACAGAGAGACCAATTGTGGGTGTAAAAGGACTTGGGGACAACACCAGAGTTTTGGGCTGAGAAGCAGAATTGCCATCGCAAAGATGGGGAAGCTGGCGGGAAGGGCTGAAGTAGGGGA